GGGAGTGGATGGGGGGAAGCAGTTTCACAGGCTGGGTACCCCAGACACATGGCTGGGGCCAGATGGGGAGGGCTAGAATTGTATCTGCTGCCTAGAGCTGCTGTAGCAAAAGCTTCAACTGGGTGGCATAAAGCAACAGACATGGGTTGTCTCAAAATTCTAAGTCTAGAAGTCTGGAATGAAGGTGTTGGCGTGGCTAAAATCCTGAAGACTCTGGGGAAGGACTTTCCCTGCTTCTCCTAGCTTCTTGTGGTGGCCGGTCATCCTTGGTGTTTCTTGGCTTGTGCCTGCATCACTCCAAATACCACCTCCATCCTCACATGGCCTTCTTCACTCTGCATCTCGGTGTCTGTGTCCAAATTTCCTTCTTAAAAGCACACGAGTCATTAGACTGAGAGCCCATCCTATCCATTGTGAATTCATCTAATATTGATAAAATCTGCAAAGATCCTTTTTCCAAATAAGGTTACATTCACAGGTACCCAGGGTTAGAACTCCAACTAATCTTTTTGGGGTACACAATTCTACCCACTACAGTGGGTGGAGGAACACTCTGTGGTCAAGAGCACCAGCTCTGGCCCTGGAGCACCCCAGTGCCTTGACGCCCCCCCCACAAAGCCAGACACATTTCTACAAGCTCTGCCCATGATGCCAGCATTACTACCTGGCAGCTGTAGATTGTGACATACCTCCCCTTTGTGGGCCCCTGTAAAAACTCTTAGGACTCACCTTAGGTACCCCCCTGGGCAAAGTCTTCTCAACCCTCTCTCAAGGTGGTTGGAGGTCCTCCATCCTTCTTCTGAGCTGCTGGAGTTGGCTGTTTAACTTCTGCTTGGCACACAGCATGCATCAGCATAATCGTTTACGTTCTCCTGGGCTCCGAGGGTTGGGTCTGCCATGCTGGTGTTCTGCATGTGATGCACCTGGCACATGTTAGACCTCAGCATTGGCTGGGTGAGGAAGAACTATGGATGGATTAGGGGGTGAGGGGGTGTGGGTAGGTGGGTGGGTGGATGGAGAGAGGGATGGACGGGTGAAGTGAGGGGGAGGGAAGTCAAGTAACAGAGAAGTCCTCCCTGAACACCCTATCCCACCCCTGCTGCTCCCATCCACTGCCCCGCCTTGTTCTACTCTGTAGCGTTTTACATCATTTATCTTATTATTTGCCTGTTGTCGTTTTCCTTTCACTAGAACGTGTGCTCTGTGAGAACATTTGCCTATTTCATTTTCACAACTTTATCTCCCATGCCTAGAACAATATTTATAGGATGGGTGGGTGGATGCATGGACGGGTGGGTTGTAGGGAGCCCATGGCCCAGTGGGAGTGTATCATTCTTTTTATTATTTACATATTTTCTATATTGCATCAAAAATGGTCACTGTTGACAGTCATTTAGTATGTCTCCTGTTTATTTGCTTTAGTTACTCCAAAAGACACTACGATGAATATCTCTGCGCATATATTGTTGCACATACCTGTATCTATCTCTAAAATAAAAATCTAAAAGTAAAGTACTGGTTGTAAGAAGAGGAGTATTTAAAACTTTGATAGATTTTGCCAATCAGTTCCTCAAATATAATGCATCCATTTAGTATCCCACCCACCATCCTTGAGACTTGTGACCCTCTGCCCCTGCCTAGTGAGATATCGAAACTGGCGATGTCATCGGAGAGCTGGCAATTAGTATCCTGTTTCTGTTTTAATGTGCGCTCCTTTCACTAGGGATGGGCATGCAAGTGCCTCACTCTTATGCCTGGTCAGCTGGAGCCACCTGCCCCTGAGCTGTCTTTGCTCAGTGGGTTTGTTTCGCCCTCCTGCCCAGTACCCTTATGCCCCAGGCTCAGGATCTGCTGTTACTCACTGTCATCTGAGGGCAAGGCGTTTGCCTTCCCAGCCAGGGTCCGGTAGCCCTGTGGGTTGCCTTTAACCACACGGAAATACCCACGAGCTCAAGTTGTGAGGTGTCAGCCTCAGCCTGCCTGGAATGGATGGATTTAACATCATGTGCTTCTACCATCAGAACAATGATTACTGCCCTACCCAGTTATATCTCACACCAGCTGACTTCCACACCGACCAGTGTGCACGGGGTGTGTGTGTGTGTGTGTGTGTGTGCGTGTGTGTGTGTGTTCGTGTGTGTGTGTTTTTCTCTTGCATTCTGCCAGCACTGTATGCAGAAAGAGTATTATCTTCTCTCCCTCCCTGGAGAGCCATGGTGTATATAATCTACTTGTCTCTGAGGCCCATTTACTTAGTGAAAGTGGTCAGAGGTCAGACAGGGGCCACTGCAGCAGGTCTCAGAACTTGAGGGATAAGGTGCTCATGTAGAGACGTGGAGGAAGAGCAGCAGGGCCTGGGGTTACCTGACTGATGGACCAGACATGCAGGGCAGCTGGTAAACAGAAGGCCATTGTGCTCATTTATGGGGGCAGGGAGTTCACCTGGACTGACATTACCAGCCTGAGAGCCTCAGAGCACAGGCTGAACTTCTCCATCCTTCCCCAGCCCACCAGCCTGGGCCATCAGACCCTCTGCTATTTCCCAAACCCTCCTGCCCTGCAAACAACCTCTGCTGGATTCTGTCTACTATGTTGGGGGCTCCATGGGGACAGGGAGCAAGAGTCAGAGCCGCCTTGCTATGTTGGCACACTCAGCCCAGAGAATCTCAGGATCAAGATGGTGATGACAAAGTTGTGCTGAAGAAGACAATGCCAACACTAGAGATACTGAGCTTTACTATTTACCATACCCTACTCTACCTTTTCTTCAAGTTTATCAACTCATTTTACCCCCACAAAGACCCTAGGAGATTGATGCTATTATTATCTCAATTTTACAAAGGTAGAAACTGAGGCACAGAGAGGTTAGTCATCAGCTCAAAAGTCACACAGCCATCAAGAGGCAGAGTCTAGCTCCAGAGCTCATACTTTTAACTACTGTGACACTTGACATATGTTCATACTTAAGGTTAATTTGGAAGATTGAGGGGTGAACACAGAAGTCACAGAGTGGCTTCATTAGAGGCTCTGAGGGGGCCGGCGTGCTTACTGGGCCACATAAGGCAGAGAGTGAGGACTCCATGCCAAGGACTGGATCCTGAAGGCAGCTCTCTGCTGCTGTGGCCTAAGGTGGGGGGAGGGAAAGGGAGCCCAGGACCTTGAGGGCCGACAGGGGAGGCTGACACCTCCCGGGCACATGGAGGACCAAGTGTTACGGGCAGCTCTCTCTACCCTGCCCTGGCCTCGAGAACCCAGATCCCCTTCCAACCGCCAACTTGAGAGTGAGAGGGAGCTCAGCTTCCTTCCATTGTTCATGGGGGGCACACCCAGCATGTTCCTGCAGTGACCTGAGGCCTGGGGGGGAGGCAGGAGGGAGGGAAGGGGCCAGCTTGAGTAGGGTCAGGGTGGGAGAGGGGAAATGAGAGGGGAAGACTTGGTGTTTTTCCTTGTTTGTGTTTTGTATTAAGGAAAACAAATAATATCCTTTGAGAAAACCACTAAACAAAGCACATCCTAAGGCCACAGAGGCCCATTGTGGCTGCCTGGAGCCCGGAATTCATTCATGCCTTTTTGGATTGTTGGAGGCAAGAGCCAGGGTGGGAAGGCGGGATTACAATTTAAATATATTTTGAAGTGTGTCATTCCTTCCCTGGACTCAACTGGAGTCTAGACTGAGTGTCCCTAGGTCCTTGAGCCTGTTCTCCTCCTAGTGCCCCAAGGAAGCTCCTCTAGACTGACATCCTAGCACAATCAGGGCTGCCCCTTGATGGGGGGCTCATTCCTAAAAAGGCAGCCCTCTACTGTGGAGTCCAAATCATAGATGACAGAGGGTCTGGGCTACAGCCCCATAGAACCACCTATCTAACTCCTTATATGAATTCCCTGGGCCTCAGTCTCTCTGTGATGGAGGGGCGTTGGGTCAAATGGAGTCTCACTGACCACTTTCTAGCACACTGGGCCCTGTCACTGCCCCCTCATCCTGTGCATACCCAGGATCCTGTGGGTATTGACCCATGGGGGTCACACTCAGGCTGTGGACTCTGTGCCAGGGCCTGTGCCCAGGTGTTGCAGGCGCAAGTCAGACCACCCCTCCTCCCAGACCCCCAGACCTGGGAACCCCCTACCCCAGATTGCCTGTAATGGAATGGCAATGCTTGCCCCTGTGTCCTGCTAGAACATTCTTTCCTGCCATGGGAAGGTGCGGGGGGTGGGAGGGGAGCAGGGGCGCTGGTAAGAACAAATCTGGCCCCCAGCCCAGCTTCTGCGAATAATCCTGCCACGGGCCTGGTATTTGCAGGATCAAGCCCCCATTACAAGTAGACGGACTATCTGCACCCTGACGTGATGCATGAATAGTTGTCCTGCTGACTGCACAGCACCCATCCTCAGGATCTTCCCCAGTTGAAAGTTTAAAGAGCATTTAGCTATTTGCTTGTTTCCCCTATTCTCTGGCGGTGTGAGGAATGGGGATCTTGGGTAATACAGGGGATCCTGTATTGGGGATCCTGAACTGAGGTGAGGAGACCTGGTTCCCTCTGCTTGAGGCTCAGGGTCAGCAGGGGCTGCCACTCCTTGGTTCACCAAACGGCACAGAGAATGGGCTGCGAATACCCCCTGCACCAGGACACATGGGGTCCTCACACAGCCCTTGGATTCAGGGGCTGGTCCCAGCCCTGCTGCAAATACTCGGAAGACTCTGAGCGGCTCACACCCCTGTCTGGGCCTGACCCTTCTCTGTAATGTGAGTGACTGGATATGGCGAATCTAAGGTCCCTTTTGTCCCTGCTGTTGTGGGTTCTGTAATTCTAGCAACACTGCTGGAAGGAAATCCATCAACTTCACTGAATATTTCCGTTTCTCAGACTGGCTTTGGTGGTCAGAGTCTAGTCTTTCCAGAGTCGTGTCTTCTCTTTCTCCTAGGTACTATGATAGTTATTTCTGTCCCAGAAGTTCTTTGCTCTCCTTGACTAATGATCTTCCTTTCCACCTCCACCATGCAGGGCTACCACCCGCTGCCCCACGAAGTGGAGATTGCGCACACAAAGAAGCTGTTCCGGAGGAGGAGAAATGACCGAAGGTAGGAGACATGGCGCCCCCAGCTTGGGGGATTTCTGTCCCTCGGTCAGACACCTGCATGTTACCGGGTTGGGCAGTGGCGGCTACTCTTCTTTGGGGTATTCTGGGAATGGATCCCTTCAGGAGTTCGGGCAGGGTCCAGGGCTTGCAGTTCAGGAGAAAGGCTCCTTACACTGCCTTAGGGCAGCAATAGCCCTTGTCCCCCTACAGGGACCAGCTGGCGTGCGTTTTGAGACCTGGCCTCCAGGAGGCTCCTGAGCTCGTAATTCCAAGCGTGTCTATCAGTCCTTCCCAGTCACTGGGAGGCGTCGCTGGTTCCGCTGTGACAGGCGGCACGCAGATCAGCCACTGCACCTGCCACTGCTCTCGAATGCCCGGAGGAGCTCACTTAAGTGGCGGCAGAGACTGGCGGCTTCTCCAGAAAAGGCCGGGAGAGGTGGCCCTGGCTGGGAACACGCAGCTGAGGCTGGGTGGTTGGGGACCTGCCATTGTCTCCTTAAGGCTTTCTTGCACAGAAAGGTCTTCAAGGAATATTTCACCTGGAAAACTGCAGGTGTGGAATAATATTTGATATTTGTAGTATGTGGTCACTTGTGCAAAAGTGGGGTGGGGGAGGCAATTAGGATCTATTTTTTGCTTGAATGTGCATAAATTATTTCTGGATGAAAATATTTTTTTAAAGCGAGGCAGAGTAGAAGAGAGAAAGAGGCAGAGGAGCAAGAAAAAAAGGAAGGAGGGAGGAAGGAAGGAGAAGAAAAAGGAGAGTGTGTTAGCAAAAGACAGAAAGAAAAGGCTTCTGCCTGAGGAATTAAAATGAGGTATTCTTCTAGAGGGAATTTCTTCTCAGATAAAGGTCATAGCTTGTGGTTTTACCTTTAACGAACAGAGAATGTTCTCAGAGAGCCAATAAACAGCCCAGCCCACATCCCTTGCTCAGAAGACTGGAAGTACCTGCCACGCCGGGGAGACCAGGCCTGTGGCTGACCAGGGTCCACTTCTCTGCATGTGGGTCCTGGACGAGGAGTGGTGGGTGGTGAGTGGAGGTCTGCGCGCCCAAATGCCCCATCATTGGCAGGTGGATTTCTGGGTGTGAGACATTCCCTGGGGACAATGAAAGTAGAACCAGCTGGGAGGAGCTGAACTACTAGATATCAGAACTAGAGGGCACATCATGTGGTGGCATCAAAGGGAAACCCGAGCAAGGAGGGCTGGCCCAGGCCTTGTCGCTGGCTGACAGCACTTGGCCGTCCACTGTGTGCTGCTTTGGGGGTGCAGCCACATAGAAGCTAATTCCTGGATTCTTGTTTCCTAGCAGAGGAAGGAGATAGGAGGCCTCCCGTCTCCCCCTCTTAAGGGGGGTTGGAGTTCACAGGGGAGACCAGTGTGCGGCAGACCAGAGACTTGGTATCCCTCTTCCCCTGCCCCATGGTCCCATGGTCCCCCCTCACACCCAGAGTGTGGGTCTGGCGGTGTGGGGTGTCCAGGCTTCCGAAGGACAAGTCACCTCTGACCTGGGTCCCTGGCCCTGTCAGTGACAGGCTGCCCCTCAGCATCCAGGGCCGTCACACCTCCACTTCTGGACACCTCCACTTCTGGGGCCAGGTCACCTGGCTCCGAGGGAGTCTCCTGGGCAGTGGCAGGCCTCTGGAAGGCAGCAGCGCGACACGGGAATGTAGGAAGAGGAGCATGACATGCAAGCACTGGGAAGCTGACCTTCCGCTGAGCCGAGCTCATGTTAACAAACGCCCGGGTTAGGTCAGCACACCTCGCAAAGGATGTGGACCCGGGACAGGGTCCAAAGCCAGGCAATAAAGATGATTAAAGGGATGGAAAGTATGTCCTGTGAGGAGAGGCTAGCGGACGGGCCCAGGGGAGAGGAGGCTGCAGGGAAGGACGTTCACGCCAGCAAACTCATGAAAGATTTATAGGGAGCACCGAGGGGCAGCTGCCTCCATGTTCGCGGGGGCCCAGACCAGAGGAAGTTTGCTGAACTGGAAGGAGAGTGTTCAGCTGGACCAAAGACAGACTCAAGGAATGGTTGTCCTGCCCATTAGGGAGTCACACTCGGAGGTTTAGACAGCAGGCACGCTAACAAGTACTATGTGGGTGCCCGGGCACCACACCTTTAATCACATCTGGAATACAGTACCGCCCATCACCCCACCATCCCAGAGGCCCCAGGCAATGGGGACTTTCAGGAGAAGAGCAGGCAGCCAGCTAGTATAAGGACCTTGATATCTGAAAGTAGGAAGCCAACACCAGGGACCGCCCAAGTCCTTGGTGATTCTGGCTGCAGAGTATTATCAGGTCCACCCTGACCTTCCTGGTGGAGGGTGGACACTAGTGCCCTTGCTAAGTTCCACCCCTTTATAGTGGACCCTGGTAGTTAACACTTTTATACAGCAGATGAAGTTTCCCGAGCTTGGGAGACCACATAGAGAGGGCCGTGCATTCCCTAGGAACACCAGGTGGCAGCGGCGAGGTGACCAAAATCAGATCTGGGTGACCAAAGGGCAGAGCCAGCATCTATATCGTGCCTCTGAACTCTCCTTTCTGTTGTGGGGGAGAGCAGGTACTGTTCCCCATTTAACAGGAATAACTGAGGCCCCAGACGTTAGCCAAGATTGTTCTGCTCCGCAGTGGCAGAGCTTAACTCACATCTACTGACCCCAAATCTCAGCCCTTTCAACTTCAAACATCAGGTGGACCTTTGACTAAGAGCAGGTGGCTGGTGGGCGCATGATTGGGGTATGGCTGCAGTATCACATGAGGGAAATGGCTGAGGGGTTTGTGCCTTCTTTGTTCCTGCAAAGCAGCTGGAGTTGGAGTGTGATAGCTGCGAACTCCCTGTGGCAAGGGCAGGCAGCTGAACCTGGATGCCCTGCCCCCTGGTCTTCAGGGAGTCTGTATTATATCCTGTGCTGGGTGTGTCCTTACTGCTTTTCTTTCTGTTATTGTAGTCAAAGCCACATCCCTTGGAATTAGACATGAGAATTCCATCTCCTCTACAAGATAATTCTGATCTGAGCAGCTAATTTTTTGAAAACTCTATTTCTGCTTCTGCAAAACCAGTCTACTAACAGAGAGGCTTAAAGGAGCTAGTTCTTGGAAGGCACCTGAAGTGGTCCTGGTGCCAGCCTGCTTACATGGTGTTTGGGGTGCACTGTGAGGTGAGAGTAGCAAACTTGTATACAGGTGGGCTTTATTGCTGGGGTCCCCACCAGTGTTGGGCTTGCTTGAGAGAGAGTTTGGACCAGCATTTGCTCCAGGATCAACCATTTCTTCTCCTCGATCAACCTTTAAAGCTCTGCCCCCACATTCTGTGGGATGCTTGGAGGGCCTCTGGGATTCAAATTGATTTGTCATTGTCTTTTCCTCATTTTGCAGGGAAAGGTTAAGCTCTGGAGGAGTTCAAAAAGTTGGGCAACTGGTAACTACATATTTACTTTTGGAAAGCTAATCAAAAATGTTTGCTGATTTGAGACAAAGCTATGCATTTCATCTTTGGATGCTCTAGATGGGTGTCTCATGCATTTCTCAGAGAGCAGCATGCCTGTGGGTGTTTCTTCCCCACCCAAGTGGGATACCCGCAGGCTAGAAAGGGGGTTGTGAATGTTTACCTCCCTCCCCAGGCTCACTACCCACAAGGTGCAGAGCACAGGAGCAAACTCACTAGAGGACTTGAGCCCAGTCCATGCCACTGACCTGTGTTGACCTTGAGTGAGGTCTCGCCTTCAGGGCATGCAGGGATTTCCCTACTGTTCTCTCCATGCCTCTCTGCCTCTCAGTTTGATGAGATGAACAAACTCAGGCAATAAAGGAATGTCATAGTGTGTACTCCCTGGAAAGCAGACTCCCGGATGGAGAGCAGTGGACAGTATACCTGCTAGTGTGTGCGCTTGGGATTCATACTATAGACAGGAAGGGTGGGGAGCAGGGTGGGGCAGAGGAGGGTATAGGTGCAAGCTTGCGATGCAAGCTGGATGGGGATTACAGTCCTTACGGGAAGTTCTGGGGCTGGGTGACTCTTTAGCTGTGTCCTGGCTTTAGCTGTGTCCTGGCTTTAGCTGTGTCCTGGGATAGGGCAGGTCTTCATTCCCCTTGAGGACTGCTGCAAGCCCGGCCAGCTCTCTGCACCCAGAGCAGTTACTATAAGGACTGACAGCATGTTTGGGGAGTGAGTGTTAATTTCTGAAAGGGGCCCTGGTGTTCTCTTGAACACCACAGAGAAACGCTGTTTAACCCCCCCCCCCCCACTATGAATGATGGGACAGTATTCTGTGCTCCCACAACACCAGAGAAATGCCACGTGTGGTCCCTGCTCTCCAGGGACTGGGACCTAGCTTTTTCAAGGCTCCCTGGCTCCAGAACCCCCAGAACTTGGTGCACAACTGTCTGTTCAGGCAAGGAGGCTCAGAGAAAGGAGCCAGCAGTGGGTGGTTACAGAAGGCTTCCTGGAGGCGGTGGGCATTGACCCAGTCATGAGACATGAGGACAACTTGGAAGGGAGAGGGGAGGAAGTCAGGCTAAGAGGCACATGAATCCACAGCTGAACAAGTAAGGGACCCAGGGATTTCCCTCCTCTCCCCAAAAAGTCACCTCCACAAAACTCCCAAGGAACAGTCAGATAGGTGGAGCTTGTGGCACTTCTGCCTCCAGTTGAACTAAAGCGAAAGGAAAAGCCAGCACTCCTGGTTCCTGCGGGCCCCGGCCTGGACTGCCAGAGTCTCAGTAGACCCTGTAGGCTCTGGAGCGTGTCTCCTAACAGTCAGAGTGGGGCTAATGGAGGCATTAGCAGTCCATCCCATGATGCTAGTGCAGCCAGGGAGACAGGAGAGTGTTCTTCAAATTAATTTGTTTCATTAGGTGAGGTCTCAAAACAGTTAATTTACTCCACGTGGAAGCAGACTGAAAGGAAGAGGAATGCCATGGTCATCCCCAGATAGCGTCAGGTGGCTCCCGGGGTGAGACTCAGGAGCACACGCCCTCCCCATAGCTTTG